CTTTAATAGTGAATGCCCCGATAATCTAATCATTTATTATTTCCTCGAGTCAAAATAAACAAAAGCTTCTGTATTTGTGGGAAATTATTACAAGATTGTAAAAATGAATAAGTCTGTTTGTCCTCGGCAGGAGATAAGCACAACAAAAGGCAAAACAAGACRAGTCATTTAAAAGGACGCAAACTCGTCCTGTCAGACTGTCAGACTGACTGAAACTAATAGGAAACATGACATTTCTGTCAGCTTTTTTTAATCACAAAATCTCAATAAAACTGTAATCACACGGTCAACTGTTAAGTTTCTAAATACCTGCTGTATTTCAAAAAGTAGAATGATTGCGATTGTGTCTATTTGTGTGTGTTAGCAAAATATCTCAAAAACTACTGGGCAAATTTTCAAAAAACTTCTAGTAGTAATCACTGCATGTGCAACAGCCAATAATTTAGTCCGTTTTTCAGCTACTGTGCTAAAATTGAGTGTGGTGGTAAGTGAGAGCCCTTTACAAAACATAATCATTAGATTTACATTTACAGCTCCGTAATTTTTAAAGTCAATCTGATTTAAGATGGCTGCCACAACAATCCACTTTAGCCAACACATACAGCTACAGCTCAGTCCGTTTTAGAGATAGTGAGCTAAAATTTGAGCTGAGAGTCATTAAAAAAAACTCTCAACGTGACATCTCGTGATAGCGCATTAAATTGTGCATAACGGTATTTTTCAGACTACAGCTCCGTCATTTCTCATCATAAAATGATCTTAGACTAAAACTCTGTCAAGAAAGGCAGCAGCAGATATTCACCCCTTCAATGCAAGCTAGGCCTTTAGTTAGTGAAGTTTTTAAGAGTATCATCATGTATCATGTTTGTGTCAGTTCTAATATAAGGAGAATAGCAGCAGAACATAAATGACTTTACAGTGCAACAAAATGATAGCATGCTTACTGTACATGCAAAGCAAACATATGCAGAGAAAACAACCCATAAATGAGATGAAAGTTGTGGCAAATCTACGGTGAGTATATGTTTCTCTTTTGTAAAAAAAAAAGACCAGATCTCAAGAAGACTCGATGTGAAACCAGTCCAACGACAGCCTGGACAGAAAGCTCAGAACATGAGTGAACAAGCRTAAAGCAGTAACAAGGCAGGAAACGGAGATTACTGAGACAAAACCAAGGCAGAGTGGTCAGCTGCTGACATGCTGTGACAAAAAAAAGAAAAAAAAAACAATAAATCTGAATGTGAGGCATGAAAGAATGAAGAAGAAACAGAGGTGTTGACCTGCGGCGAGGATTTGCTAATGATTTTTACGGAATATTAGCTTCTAATTTGGAAAACTTCCTGTGATTTACCAAGATCTATTCTTCTCATAATGTAGTATACAAAGATTTGGCCTCATGGGGTCACATTCTCTGTGGTAATTAAATAGAAATGTAGGTCTCAGGTGAGTAAACAACAAAAAGGCATCAGTTTTAAGAAGTCAGGCTTGTCTGTTACGACTTTTTATGTGTTTTGAGCTTGTGTTAGAAGGTTTTTCACGCTTTCTCCTTGCAAAAAAACTTGTGCTTCTGTGACATTCACCATCATTGTGCCTGCGCTGCCCTTTTGAGGTCTGCTCATTGATTTTCAATTACGTTCAGGTTGGGGCATGAGGAAGGCCATGGCAACACCTTCACCTTAAGGTGGTTCATTATACGAACGTTGATGTTTGTTTTAGGATTGTTGTCCTGCCGTACAATTCTTCCTTTTCTCTTTTATAGCCTTGTTGTTGTTTTTTTTACAGACAATGTGATCAGACTTGATAAAATGGGTAGACTCTACGTTTGTACGGTGTAATAATGTTTTGCCTGTCTGAGAGTGTGTGTTCGTTTGTCTTTCATGTTAGCAAATTATCTCATAGAACCATGAAAAGACTTTGATAAAACTCTGAAAAAGTAATCCCTGGATGTTTGTCTMCAACTGATGCAATTCAAGATGGAGTCTGCAGCACTGTTCAACATTATAATTGCAATATTTCAGTTATTTTAATAAATATTGAGCTAAAAATAAATAYGATGGTAGCTGAGTCATCCACAACAAACACTCTGAACTAAGGGTGCACAGTTCTCTGATTGATCACCARTCTTTAAAAAGTCTGATCTGATTCAGATTTTGGTCGATACCGATTTTTTTWAAATACCTGACACTGTCAGGTGTTATWAGGTCACAATRCGTCTTCAATGTTCYAATTTGAATTTATTGAAAAACACTGAACAATACCACTGAGACAACYTGTTGAGAAGCCGGTCTTTTCCACCAATCTTATTTACCGTAGGTATTGGCCTACTGTATCTCCGATCTCCCAAAATTAAGAAAATCGGTGCCAATAAATTGGCCAGCCGATTTATTGGCACACCTCTACTCTGAATGTAAAGTCCCMTATAATGTAGACACCTACAATATTATCTACAAGGGTTTACCAAAACAGCTTCAACTCCACCATTTCTCAATAAAAGATGATCTTCAAACTGTCAACTTTTACATGACCTCCTGGCTGAACTTGACAACAAATAACAATTTATAAATGTCTGATTCCTTTTGAACCACGGATGCTGAAAATCCATAGGTTTGTCTTACATACTCCTCTCCGCATTTCAGAAGAACGTAAATAGGAGTATGTAGACTTAMTGGGAAACCAATTATCATCTGGCTTGTAGCCCATTAAAAAAAACCTTTACAGCAGAATTACTCACCACCCACGAGCAGAATGGAACAAAATAAATAAATCAGAGTGAACTTAACTATCAYGCTGCCGTGTTAAAGGCAAACAAAAACAAAAGGAACACTTTGTGGCCCCCGGCGATAGCATCTAGAATGAGCGTTTGACCTGTAATGTACACAACAGCTGCTGTAAAAGACGCAAAGAGTGTTTTTTTTCCTCTCKCTCTATTTTGTTGTTGTTGTTTTTCCCCGTAATGATGAAGGTAGTAGGAGTCAACGTGCTCGATAGAAATTCATGAGAATCTCGCCGGACATGGTTTCGTATTTGTTTTACAACTGGACCAGATGAGACGTGTGCGGCTTTGCAGCTTTTGTTGTTTTACAGCTGTAACATTTCCACTTCATCAATGGGAACAGATGAGAAAATACGGCTCAGCTGTTGTTTCAGTACTATAGAGTAATGTAGCATTATAGGAGAGACTGTCAAAAAGTCAGACTGCTAAACAAAATAAAAATCCTTAGGCCTATTACTGGAAGTTCAACAAACATGCACACATGGTTAACTGCCTGCAACAAACTGAAAATGACTCTTTATGTGTTCTCAGCCCTCACCGAGCTCACCCATCCATAAAAATCCCATCTCAAGGAGAGCAGAGGTGAGGTCTCGCTTTCCTCTCTCCTGCTCTTGTTCTTTTCTTTTTTTTAAACTTTCTCCATCTTCCTTACAAATGCGCACACAAAAGAGCCCTTCTTTCTGTATCATAACTACTCCTACAATTACTCAGACGATTACTCAGATCAATGGTTTGCCTGTCTGCATTCAGGAGTGTCCCCCCAGTAGGCAGGGGGGGAAAAAAACAAAACAACACACACACAAAAAAATAAAAACCTCCAGGCTGAACGCATTAAACAGAGTGTGTGACATGGGGACAGGATAGCGTAATACCACGCAATAACATGAGGGGGGAGCGCAAGACTGGCAAAACATATTGTCAGTCAGAGCTGTCACACATGAAGGGGTAACACCAAAGTCTATCAACAATGTATATGTTACAGTGTACAAGCCCACGCYTCATAGATCTGCACAAGCAGTCCCCTGCCATTAAGTCTCTCAAAAAACACTCTCTGGTAAGAAAAAGTAAATAATAAATAAATACACCAAACATATAAAAAAGGCAGGTGCAGCGGAGTTCTTCCAGTGGCAGAAGCAAAGAGCCTAACAAGGGGTTGAGRGTGATTTCATGCTCTCTATTTAAAAAATGACAATACATGAGCACACTTAATTACGCAGTCTCTAGTCTAGATCAACAGTCTTCTCGGCGGTGAAGAGACTGGTGGATTCATTAAAAGCAAAAGAGTCTCCCCTTTTTTTTCCTTCTTTTTTTCTGGGAAACAAGCTGCTTTACAGGGGGACATATTCTCATGCTGGAAGAATTTACGAAAACTGAAAATCAGACGTTTTCTAAATTGGAACGAAGAGRAAAGAAAAAAAATCATTGCAAAGTCAAGGCTTTGGCCCATATTTCTGATTTGTTTTGATGAAATATAGYGCCCGTGTGGGGGATTCTAAGTGCAGTGAAGCGTCGTGAAAACCTCTGTGATGCTGTTTCGCCCTCGTTCTTTGGCCCTTGGTCTGCAGCTCTCTTACATGGAGCGAGACAAACATTAATTCAGTTTGAAAGTAAAAGAATGTTAATTTGTGAGGGGAAAAAAGCGTGGAGGTTTCGCTCGTCCACGATCACCGAATGAACTGTGATGAGTGTTTTAAGATCATTATTCCCCCCTCTTTTTAAAAGCCCTCCTCAGCGTTTTTACAGACAATTTGAACTCCGCTTCCAGAATATTCGGTGCCTTAATCGAATCGAGCTCCTCTTAACATATCTTCTGGTCCCGCCATCTCGAGGTGATTCCCGCCCCACCCAACCGTCAATTGCAGCTTTTGAGAAAAGCAGACAAAAGGCAAAAGGCAGGGGCCATAATTGATRGCTCAAGGCTCAAGCTTTCTCTCAGAGGGTCTGCTCAGGTCCTGATCCCCTGGCCTCAACCTGAAACAATCACTCTTAGTTAACGACAACACTTCAGCTATCGACAGCATGATCCTGTAAAGCAGACACTTCAATCAACAGAGCCAGCCGCAGGAGGTGTTGTGTTGGAGGTGAATAAAACAAGGAATGGGAAGGCGGCGGGGTCATGGGGACGGATGAAAACAGGAGGTAAATAAATGAATTGATGAATGAATAATTGATTGGCCAGCGAGTGGCGACTTGCAGCAGCAATGCAGTATTAATAACTGACTCTTACTGTTCGTCTCTGTGTCATCACTGATACTCTTAGGTGGACCGTGGCCAGCATAACACACTGCTGATCTGTACATTCGATCCGGATTACGAACTTTCTTCAGTCCTTTAGGAGGCAAAGAGAAAAGTAGAGAAAATCGAGGAAAAGAAAGCATTCTCCCACCTTGTGACAACTGAGCACACTCCCCATGCAAGCAGAGAACCACACAGTTTATTGAATTACATACACAAGAGCTGTTGGGCAAAATATCACKGGAATAAAAGTGGCTGGAAAATTTTCCGGAGACCTTTTGAAGGGTGCCAACGCAGCGATGGCCCCAAATTTGATTTTGTGAAGATCTAAACGAGGGGGGGAAAAAACGCTTCAACTTTAGTGCATAAACTGGTAACCACAAACCTGCACCTGTCACTCCCTGACTGAAACAGTCGGTGTGTAAAAACTATTCGTTTTATCTTCCGAATACAACGTAGACAGTCACACGTGGATTTCTTTTTGCTTCTACGAAGCTTTGTGGCAAATTAAATACACTCCCTGAAATCTTATGGCGAGGAGAGACACGCTGATTTAAAAAAAAAAAAACCTATGTTTTGATGTATAATTTACACACATGTAACAAAAAAGTCGCGGAAATAAGAATTTATTTGCAAAAGTGTTGACGTTTCAAAAGTTAGAGGGTATTCCAGAATTTTAAACTTTGATTTTTGAAAGTAAAAAAAAAAAGTTTAAGATATCAAAAGGCAGGTTTAATCGGGTCAAAGGGTTGCACTTGAGTTATAGAGATCTAATAATCCTCATTGTTATTTTGAAGTAGTTTTATAAAATTAAATAACATTGTTCGACAAACCTCTACCAAACATTTTTGCACCATACTACGGACTGAGCCACACGTTTCGATGTATTGTTTACATATTTTATTTCAAAGCTTTGCAGCAACGCAAACTTTGTTTTTAATGGAATAGCAATAAAAGTGCTACTAAGCTCCTGCATTGATATCCCTAACAAGAACAGTTGGGGAGAAAGGTTTGAAACTGGTCTTTTTTGTTGTTGTTCTTGCAAACTTAAAACAGCTCAACCCTCCAACAGCTGAATAGTTTTATCCCTACAGGGCAAAAAGAATCAGTAATGAGGGTCACCGTTGCTGTGACCCTGTTTGCTACAGGTCAGTGACATTTCTTATTGTTCAAGTGTTAACCTGAACGATTCGGTCCGATCAATCAGAGGAAAGCAGTCTGTAAAGGTCTATTACGTGCAGGCAACATCCATCCATACCTCACTGATCCAATTAAAGGGCTGAGCAATAACGCAGCACCTGATACGACGCAAAGCTGAGGGAGAGAGGCGTCCAACGTCGCAGAGACATATTTATACCCTTTGCTGCACAAAGCATTCTGTTGGTTTTTGTGTAAGCTGATGACGGACTGTGTGCTTACTTGATGTTTTGCTGCTGCTTCACCCAAAACTTTGAGTGAAATGATAACATCGTGAAACTTTTTTTCTCAGCCTTGACAGTAAAAGAGAATTACTTTCTGCAGAGTAGAGGCCTGCGTCACAACATTTTAAAGAGGCACCCTTTGATGACTGTCGTTCCCCCTATAGTCCCGACGTACGCAGTTAGGCTCGTGATTAGATTAGCGTTTATCTGCTTTTTAATAAACGCGAGAATGCTGCGAAGTTTCTTGAGCTCACAAAAATCAAGAGTGTATGAGAATCCAGCTTCCGAGGATTAACGGAAAGCCCCGGCTTGCCTTTACAAATCTTCTTGTTTCATTTCTCACATATGACTCATGTAGTGAAATATTTGTATAAGGCTCTGCTCTGGTAGAGTTTTAGGACTGCAGGCAGTAGTTTTATCCAGAGCAGTGTCATTGTGAGACATATCAAGCCTGTCCTCTCTGTGCCCTCCTAGCCTTGTACTTAAAGTAACACACACAGAGTTTTTTAGGGAGTGTGATGCGGGAGTAAAAAAAACACCCCCCCGAGGGCCACGAGGGAGGGTGAAATACGCCGRGACATAAACATTACACCGCCGAGTAAAGTCGGGGTCGTGGCCCCTCGCTTGTTACGGGCCATCATAAGACCTGCCCAACAAGTCGGAGCCTTCGGCGCCGCCCACGCTCCACAAGGACAAAAACTGCGAAGCGACGTCCCGCTTTCTCAGCGGCTGCCTCGTCACGCAGGTACATGTCATGCACAATAAACGGGAGTCATTAAAAACTCATCAGGAGCGGCGGGACAACTGAGGAAGGAAAGCTCGACGCGAGAGCGGACGTGCGTAAGCTTTGAGAGTCTGAGCGTGCGTGAGACGACGGCATTTGCATAACGGTACGAAGCAATCCCACTCTTCGTCTCAGCACTCACCTCCTCCTCCTTTTTTTTCCACTGACCGGCCTCACAGGAACTCTGAAAATAACTTGACCTGCTCAGCGATGGGACTTTCAAGTCAGGGTTTTCAACRAGAGGAGCTCTGTGTGCCAGAGAGGCGTTACTCTTCTCCACTACAACCTCAACTAAGTAGAGGAATACATTTAGGACTGTACACCACAGTGAAGTCATTACTATAATGGAACCAGATGTCTTCTTCTTTCTCTCTTTTTTTTGGTCATAGCCCAGACAGACAGACACTCTGATGTAAAATGTATTGTTTTTTTTAGCTCAATAGCACCCCCTGGTGGGACTCCCTTTAGTGGTTGGCACACTGACATCCAAACCAACTAAAACCCAGGGTTTTATCTTTTTTCCCCCCTCTCTCTCATATGGACAGGGACAATTTGAAACACTACATGAAAAAGGGGGACTTTTGCCTTTAAGGTTACTGACAGCAACATCTGAAAGAAGTCTGTTTAATTTGGGAAGAGCACAGCAGAGCATTAGGGAACTGCTCGCAAACATCTGGACCCAAAGATTTATTGTTTTCTCTCTCTCGCTCCTCACTTTGAGCAGCCAGTGTTTCAAACTACCATCCCTCTTCTGCTTCACTCTTTSACTAATAACGTAAATAAACATGAATTTGCCTAGAACACGAGAACAGTGACATATCGTTTTGTTGCATTATGGCCCATTCAGAAAGCGAAACAAAAAACCCTGATCGCACCCAACAGATTTGGGACGACAATTAAACATGCAGATTTAATAAAGAAAATCTATCTACAACTTGTGCAAATGGGACAAACTTAACAGTGCGACCGGGTTGCTCGGCTAAAACCCGTACCAAATAGCATTAACCATGAAAATTATTTGTTGTAGCCTCTTTTGTATTGGCACGCAGGCGTTATTTAATTACTCACCCAAAATTTCCATGGGCCCTTTCAGAGACAGAGAGCAGATCTCTCATGCATAGGAGCTGCAATAAAATATTCCACTAAAGAGGAAATGATTAAGTCTGATGCGTTTGTTTTGTTTTTGTTTTGTTTTTAGTTAGCAAGCTGTTTTAAACCAGCTGAGAGGAGAGAGGGGGAGAAGGGGGGGGGGGTCATCACTCTGCTGTGTGTAAAGTAGTGTCTCCATCCTCCCTGTTTCCTCTGCTGTGATGGCATTCCAGCGATTTCATGCCTCTGTTTCACACCAAATATAGGCCAAAAACTACTGGGAACCATCTCAGTCCCTTCACTTTAAGGAGAGAAAAAAATAGAAAATACATCACTTATTATGGTTCAGACACGCTGTTCGCCTTTAATGCCAAAGAAAAAAAAGAGGAGAAAAAAAATCTCGCGCTTCAAGGAGGAACTGAACGAGCCGCTCCGAGAAGAAGAAGATGATGAAAAAGGGATTTGAAAGCCAGACGTGCCTTAATGATTATTTCAAAACAAGCTGAAAGAACAGAGCCGGAGCTGGCAGATAAACTAACACAGCCCCTGTTTATAAAGGGAAAGAAGTTAGTTTATGCCAACGACACGTTGTCATTAACTTGGCCTGGTTGTTAACTTGCCTCTTATTTGACCAGAATCCGGAGCTCAATAAACGCCACTTTTACCACGCGGACTATTTGTCCTCGCGGCGTGTTTTAAACGTGCTGTGAATAGCTCGAATGCAGGCTAATATTAGCTGGCTAATGATGTCTCCACGTTTTTCAGCTGCCTATGTTCGGAGAGAGGAAACAGCGGAGACGTTTGTTTGGGTTTTTTTGTTTTTTGTTTTTTTTGTTTTTCTTACTGTAAATTTCTCCACTTTCCCACCACCCGCCTCGCGCTCGTGCCGTCTCCGCGCGGAGTTGCCACTGCTCTAAAGATGAAAAAATGAACGCCACCGCCGTCATAGCTTTTAGTAGTTAAATTAACCCCCATTATATTTCTCTTACCTTCCGGCTTGTTTTCGGCAGCCATTTCCCCTTCACGCGCAACATCCTCCTCCTCCTCACGACCGTGGGTACCACGCGCGTGCACGGCGAGGACAGCACGAGGAGGGACCGGAGCGGAGAGAGCGGCGGCGGCGGCGGCGTCGACGGTCCGACAGAGGCGAACTTCCTATTGGCTGTGAGGCAGTGACTGACGGAGAAACAACACGTCTCCGCTCACCTCACCTCCACCACAGCTGCCCTTTTTTTTTCCTCCTTATTGTAAATTTAAAGCAGCTCAGAAGCAACACTAATTCACCGAAACCCCATTAGTTAAATAAATAAATAAATAAATAAATAAATAAATAAATAAATAAATAAATAAATAAATAAATAA